GAGTGTGCGTGTGTTTCTCAAGCTGGGAACTCTGGGAAGGACAGTAGGAACCAGTTCCCAGCTCTGACTCTCAGTTTTCACAGTCTTCTACAGTTTGACACTGATCTAATGATGGTTTCTTTCCTCCAACTCTCACAGAAAAGGTTCTGAGTTCTTAGATGTTCATGAAGACGTGACTCAGGCCCAGCAGAAACTGTTGGCACATCCCGCACTAACTGAGCTTTCACTGTGTTCGGTTCTCACACTGGAGCCCCAAGCACACTGTCTTCAGTTGAAATGATAATAATGGATTCCCTCCTTCAGCTGCAGCGACCACAGGTTTTCCTCCAGGACTCCGCGTGTCATATCCTACACACACAAACAAATTCTGACAAATTATAAAAATAATGATTATGTAAAAAATTATATGTACAAATATTTTTATATATAAAATATAATTTCATTATATATAATAACATACATTTTATTAAGTTGTTGATTATACACTGAATGATTAAATAAATAAATTTGTGCATATATATATATGTATATATACATACATAGTTATACATCAAGGCTGCATTAAATTGATCAAAAGTGACAGTTAAGTCATTTATAATGTTACAAAAGATTTCTGTTTCAAATAAGCACTGTTCTTTTGAACTTTCTGTTCATCTGTGAATCCTCAAAAATAAAACGCATAACAGTTTCCACAGAAATATTCAGCAGCACAACTGTTTTCAACATTGATAATAATCAGAACTGTTTCTTGAGCAGCAGATCAGCATATTATACTGATTTCTGAAGATCATGTGACACTGAAGACTGGAGTAATGATGCTGAAAATACAGCTGCGCATCACAGAAATACATTACAGTTTAGCAGATATTAACATAGAAAGCAACTGTTTAAGTTTTAATAACATGTAATTTTTTACTATATTTTTGATCAAATAAGTGCAGCAGAAGAGACTCAAAAACACTGAAAACTCTCACGATCCCAAAGTTTTGAGCATCAGTTAATATGCTGTGTATGTAGGGCACAGACAGCAGGGCGGCTCACTAGAATCTGTCTGCCAGTGTGAAGTGTGGAAATACAGCGATGGAGAAACAGCTGTGTGTGTGATAATATCAGCTCCCACCGGAGTTTCATTAGCAGGAAAACACAGACGATGACTAAGATTGATACAAGCCTCACAGACATTTGGACCAGAGCGTGTGTGAGAGTGTGAGTGTGTGTGTGTGTGTGTGAGTGTGTGTGAGAGAGAGAGAGTGTAGCTTCACACACACGATGAACAGCGGCGATGTGTTTGTGAAGTGCAGCACAGGAATCCTGGGTTTTAACCGTTCCTGAGAGAAACAGAGGAAACGAGAGTGAGTGTGTGTGTGTGTGGGTGTGTGTGTGTGTGTGTGTGTGTGTGTGTGTGTGTGTGTGTGTGTGTGTGTGTGTGCGTGTGAGTGTGTGTGTGTGTGTGTGTGTGTGTGTGTGTGTGTGTGTTTATCCACAATATCACCATTTCACTCTTTTATTAGTGGTCATTAAAAAGCTCAAGTGAGTTTGGTTTCTCAATATTAATTCAGATAATCGCTCTCCTGCAGGATGTGACTGTTCCTGTGTTGATTATGCTGGTTTTGGCTGTGTACATTCATACGCTCATGTGGCTAATGATGGATTTTCCAGGAAATGAATTAGTCACAGTATGTCTGTGTGCAAACAGCTGACGGCTACTCTGTGTCTGAGCATAAACGCTGATGACACTGTGAGGCTCATATTGCTATATACTGTAATGCTGCATTAAAGTCAGTGAATATCTGATCATGGAATAAACAGATCTGAGGACTATATATTTTTATAATGTTTGAAGTGATGTGCGTTCCTCACCTTTGACTCCTCGTACGAGTAAAAGCCCTTCTGAATTGTGTTCTCGTCTACGTCACAGAACGCTTTCACCTGCATTCACACAAACAAACACTGAACAACCAATGAATGCACAATACGACCGCATCAATAATTATTTAAAGGTAATACATTTTATTTAATTAAATGCATTAAATAGGAATTGCTAGGGTAGTTGCTAAGTGGTAACTAGAATTTGAATGTGCCATATTATTATTCTTAATAATATTAATAATTAACAACAACAACAATAATTATTTTTATTACCACAAATTTCTATTCTAAATTAAATATGATTAAATATGATTTATTTATTTTAGTATTTTTAAGCCCCTTCAGTATTGTAACAGTTATTATTATTTTTATTATTTTACAATAATATCATTATTAGAATTGTAGTATTTTTAAGTCCCTTTAGCATTTTAACTAACAACTAATAATAATACAGATTATTATTATTGCTATTATTCTTTTAAAAAAGTATTTTATATTGTTATTATTTATTCATTGTAGTACTTTTAAGTTCGTTATATAATAATAGTTACTATCATTAACACAAAGGTTATATAAAAATGTTCATATATTTAAGTCCCTAACTAATTATTATCATCATCTTTATTATTATTATTAATATATATATAATATTAATTATTTTCTATGATAGTATTTTAAAGTCCATTTTTGTATTTCCTGACATTACTATAAACATGAGGAATGGGTTTTATGTTTTGATCCGTTACCTTCTTCTGATTGGTGGGACTCAAGCTCTGTGGGCCCTGTTTCCCAGCATTCCATGCGGTGAATGATTCCCATTGGCTGAGCACTCGCTCCTGCAGGAAGTGGACGCGGAGACTCCAGATGGTCTCTCTGAGAGCAGAGGACAGGAGACGGTTAACAGCATCACACCGTCACATCACACACTGAGGGAAGCAGAAACGCTTAAGCTGGAAGACATGCTGCTTTTGGGTTATTTAAAGAGGAAACTAAACTTCCCCTGCGCACATCCCTCAACCCACAGCAGCATAAACCCCTGAAATACATCAGTCATCACTCAACACACACACACACACACACACACACAC